GTTGTGGGCAGAGAGAGCATCGTGGTTTTCGTTCTCGCGGGGGTCAATGACCAAGCATTAAAAATTTACGCGGGGGGAGGATTATTTGCACCATTTGGCTTCGGCCGCAGCATTGCGCTGTTGTATGTGGCCATGCCCGCCGCCCCGCATGTGGCAGCCGTAGTGCCGTTATATTCGGCATCTACGTCGTGCCCGACCAGTAAGCTGCTACTGGCAGCAAAAAAGAAAGAAAGAGAGGTGCCATTTCTAAACCGTTCCGGTTGTAAGTCGTCGTCGTATGTGGCAGCGTCGCATTGGCAGTGGTGTCTGCGTTGTCGTGTGTGACAGTGTTTGCGTTGCTGACGAGTGGCAGCGACCAGCGCTACCTTGTTTATAATAAGAGGACGACGTCAAAGGAAGGTTTTGATGTTCAAACAACATTGTATGCTTTTGAGTTTAAGGGTAAACCACCATCTCATGTGTTTATAAACAAAAATCAGTGATTTGCATATCAGCGTAATCGCATATCAATATGGTAACTGTGTTCGCTAGTTTTGGTAAAGATTTACATTCGGAATTTCCTTCCCGAACGAAGATATTGGTTGGCTCCCGTCAGTTCTTATCGTATGTTGCGCAGACAATAATAAAAATAAAACCTATTATGGTATACTTAAACAATAAGGAATCACTAATGATGTACAGTTAATAAAACTTTTCCAAACTCAGCAAACACGGGTGCCAAAGAAAGATTTTTCATAGTGCGCAGTCTGCGGCAACATGCAGAAGACAAAGATTTGTTTATTTCAAAGTGGTCAAGTGATTAAAACTGGTCATGCGGATATCATGTAACAGTCAACAAAAACTCTGCATTACATTCAATAAATAACGAGCTAGATAACGAGCCAAGCCCAGCCCCAAACTTATGCCCCTTGTCTTGTAACACCACCAAGGTTATCCGTGGGCAGCACTATTTGTCAAACAGTAACCACTGCACTCATTTCGCAAGAGCACATGCACAGGAAAAGTGTTCAAGTATAAACGAAAGTAAATCTGGGTTTTCAATAAAGAACCCAAGATTTCTCAAATACGAACTTCCAATAAATCCAATAATACTACTACTAATAATCCAATACTAATACTAATAATAATAATCCAATAACAATGTCAAAATGTTAATTGTTTGTTAATACACTCAACAAAGTGTAAATCTACCAACATAAATAAAACTTTTAGGAGGATTTATAACCCACCAATAATAATCAGCTCCCAAAAACAAATCTTCGAGAGCCGACTGCTTTCTCTTTCAAAATTAAATATCGGTTCCACTCACTGTCAGGTCAGTACTTGGAAATACCTGATGCAGCGAGGGATAAATCTGTGGCATGGATGCCATATCATTCTCACAAAGAGTGTATTCAATTGCTGGCATGCAATGAAAATTATCTGGGGATTGACCCAGAGACAACAGTATATAACCAGTGGAGATGGCTATACCGCCATTGTACGGAACGGCCAAGGTACAGTCATCGAAGTTGATGTTATTGTCGCTGTAAATAACATCCGAGAAGTCTAACAATGTATCGCAAACCGAGAAACTATCAAGGTTATTCTCCGTATGTTCCTTGACAGTTGGTGACCCCGTCGAGACCAAACTTTCTGGCGGCGACACGCATTCTGGAAGAGATGTTGTTTCAATGCTTGATGGTATAATTGGTGTATTAGAGTAGAGGTCTTTTTTCCCGCACAAACGAAACTTGTGAGTGGATGTTTCCGGTTTGAATGTATATTCTGGATAGTCGTCGTAAAAACGACTTTTGATTATGTCAGCCGCCAACTCGTATACTCGCCTATCCTGTTTGCTCATGCGTCTCCATTCTCTTGCGATTAGTGGAGATATATCCGTGGCCCCACCCTTGCGGGTCTTAAACTGCCCAGCTTGTTTCGCTCTCCGCTGCATCTCTCTTGAGAAGAGTATGTATGAATTTGGTGGTCGTTTTTGATCGCCATTTTTCTTCGGGGTCTTGTCATAGAATAACAAGTCCTCCTTCGGGCATGTTAAATTCGCCTTTTCGTACTCTTTATTAAATTCGTCTTCATCATACATATATGTTCCTTTAAAGCTACCATACATTATAAAGGGTGAGAGCGTGGCGGGGGACTTTTCTACAAGTATATATTTCTTTCAAGGGCTCTACCCTTTCAGCACGCGGAATTCACTTGCTTATATTCAAAAGATCAGTAATATTAGACTGGGTCAGATGACTGAACTGTGGGTCTTTTCCCTCGCGTCAGTACATGTGTTTATGTCGATTGATAAAGTAATTCTGAGACTGTTCGTTATTTCAACGTTTTACGCAACGTTACATCATAATAATATTTAAAGTAATTTTTCAACTATTCGCTGCTTTTGGCAAGATTTGGTTGCAGAAACGAGAACCTTCCAGCTGGAATTGGTAGGGATCTGAACGTTGAAAGTCCATTTTGTTGTCATTGTTCGTCTTCATTCGGACAACCATGGCATTTTTTATGCTGCGGAAATAAATATAGCATAATGCATAACATTGTCATGTATCAAAACGTGAAAATAAACATTAATACAATATCACGTGGTTGTTCGAGAGCATTAAACGGTTATATGCTTGCTGTCGTCAGCGCGAATGAATAACGAGAAAAGGTGTAGTCAGATTTAATTTTAGGAACTATGTTATAATAATAATTGCAAGATTAAAAAATTTACTCATCATACTTTTCGACTACATACAGTGGGTAGACAAAAGTCTCCGGACAGTTTTCTACTTAAATTTTCTCGAAAACTTACATAATAATTGGACACGAAATTTTGGTGACGCGTAATGTAGATCTCTGTTTATAACTCGAAACGTTGTTATTATAAACAAATATCTA